TTTTTTTTTTTTTTTTGAAAATAAATGCCTAAGATTTTGAGTGGCACACATGACCATTTACCAATATTCATGAAAGTGAGAATAAGAATACCTCTGCAAGATTGGTCTTCTTTGGAGCAAGAAGAATGGGAGAAGTGTAAGAGGTTTTTATTTAAATGATTTAGTGCCTCAGCTTCTTTAGTTACTAGAGACCATCTACATTCTCTATCTTGTTCTTCTCTTCCAAAGCTGCAATGAGACCTTTTTGCACTAGGAACAACAGAAAAATTTGGGAGCTTATTGCTCTCCTGCCCAAGTAAATCATAAAATTAACATCTTGAAATATTAGATACCAAAGAGCAAACATGCAAAACAGGTAGATTCTGTAATCACCAGTGGTAGATTATATCTTAAACACAGTACCTCATCATCAGAAAGGACTTCCTCATTAGCAATGTGCTTATATGTCTTCAAGGAGGAGACATAGTAGTCAACCTTATTTGGGGAATCAGGCACTTCAACATCATCTTCAAGAGAAGAACTTCCTTCTTTCTGATTATAAAAATTGTTGTCAACATCTACTTTACTATAAAAATCCCAAATCATATGATACAGTCATATAGCAGCCAAACTTACTTACACATGCCACCAGAGACGAATCATTAGTTTTCCTCCCACAACTTGGCCCGGTGATACCTGCATTAGAGATGACATTAGTAAAAACCAAAAATTGTGAAGAATCACTAAAGCATCTACCTTTTTAACAATTTACACTAGTCATTGGTAAAATTTGCCAACAAAATGCCTAAACATATACCTTTTAGTATTTCCAATCGTGATTGAAGTTGTAACCCATCCTAATCAATAAAAAAAAATCTAAATTTAAATTATAATTAAAACATATTGAACGGATGCATACATATATGTAACAAATTAACAGACAAATTTACTACATCAAAATTAAATTCAGATTTCCCTGCTAAAGTACTAATCAGCCTAATCCACAACTCCTAAATGCCATCAATCAAATCTACGAAATTCTCCATTGCTTCAGATAACAGAGAAAAACATAATTTCACAAGACAATCGACCACGAAAGTTCGAAATCAGTAAGCAAAGGGACAGGAACCTCTTTCTCTCTCACTTTCTCCTCGCCGCCACCAAACGAAGCACGGTCATCCCGCAAATCGAGGTTGAAATCTTCATCATCTGCATTCAAAAAAACAATCCATGAGTTCTAAACATAACATGTAGCGAGCGCAATCTGAAAACCGAAAAAATTACCGGAAATGCTCTGATCTGAATCGGAATTTCCCTAAACCAAACAAAAACACAAAGTTAAAATTGACTACAAATCAAGATACCGAAATCATCAAGCTACAAAAATGCTACTGAAGATCGGAAAAGAAGAACTGAAGACGAGAGAGCTTTGCCTTGAAATTGTTTTGCCGCCACATTTTTGCTGTTCAGGCGTCCCGGTCACATCCCGGAACATGATTCCCCCTAAAAAAAAAAAAATTTTTATTTTTTCTAATCATACGAAAGTACATTAATACCCTTCCACCAGTTTCCTTTTAAATTTTCAATGCCATACGGCGCATCGTGCACCACTAAAAATTCTTGAAACCTTTCTTGACACGCAGATAGGGAAAAGATATTAATTTTGTATTTTTTATTTAAATATATTAATTTTATTAATTTTAAACAAAAATATTAATTTTTAAA